TGCTAAAAGCTCTCACATAAAGAAGAACTGTAGTGTAGTAATAACACGAGGTTCTCATTTTATATTTTTGTGTTTACTACTTATTACTATTTCACGTACATGAACTGATATAAAAAGAGTGTGCATGCATATTTACAAGAATGCACAATGCAATGAATTCTGCATCGTTCTATTAATGGACTTTTGAATCTTCTTTTTTTGGTGGAGGAGAATTGTTGCATTTGAGTGTCATTTGGTCCTTATGCATATATGAAAAAAGTCTGAATGATACATGCCAGGAATTAGGGAAATGAAAGATACAGAAAGTCAAGGCACTGAGTGGATGTTGGCTTTGATTTCCTCCCGTCATCTTACTGGTATCTTACATCCGTATTGAATACCTAAATTCTCCATCCCTGCAGTTTTTTTCCTGAGAAAAAGTGTAGTAAAGTGTGCTAAAGAATAATTATTTTCCTTCAATGTGCATTAATAATTTAAGTGTTCCTTTTAAGCACAAAGGTGTGGCTTGTTACTCCATGTGTGTGTGTGCTGGGAGAAAAGGGAAAGAAGAGAAGCAATGACAGCACTGTCTTGGCTGGGACATGGGGAGCTCCAGAGATGAGCTGTGCAAGCTGCCCCAGGTGCAGCCAGGGGCAGGGGCAGACGTGGGCAGTGAGTGCCACACGTCAGGAAGAGAGCACACTGTGACTGGACTGTGGGGTCTCCATCTCCCACAGCCACCATCATTGTGGGACTGGGAAGGACATGTTTGTCTAAATAGCAGAAGACCAAGCAGAAGTACCAAATCAGAGTGGGCTCTGTTTTTCTGGCTTGGATTTTTTTTTTTTTTTTTAAGGTGAATTCAATAGACTGATCCTAGTTTCAAGAGGTAAACAGCAGTGAAGGGTCCTGAGCCTGCCAGAGTTGCCTGGACTGGCTCTGGAATGGTATCTGAACACAAGTACTTATGTTACTCCCTTTCTTCCTTAGGGGTCTTTGCACTTTTTGCCATTATTTCCAGAGAGTGTGGCTGCAGGGATGTAGCAAACAGCTGCCTTGTGTCACTTGCCATCTCGTTCTCTGCCTGGCTGGGAGCAGTGCAGGGTTTCAGCGGGGGATGTCTGCCTAAATCTGTGCTCTGCTCTGTGTTTACGTTGGAAAAGATCAAAGCATGTGCTTGGAGTTAAAAATGGAGACTGTGTAATTAGGGATCTCCTCTCGCTCCGAGTCACATGTACATGGACTTACATACGTGAGATGCTCCTGCCCTCATCAGGGCCGCATCCTGGGGCAGAGACAGCTCTGCATGGAGCTGTTCCTTGCCATGGCCATCAGAGGTCAGGGCTGCCTTTGAAGGGAAGTGCCTTCACCTTATCTGTGACTGATCTGCTGTCTGCAGAGGAGACGCCCAAGGCCAGGTGACGATAGTGGCCCTGTTGAGTCGGAACAAGGCCCTGTCCAGAGCGGTGTCCTGCCCCAGACCGCAGTGCTGGAAGAGTAAGAAAAGAGCACAGGACAGTACTGGAGAGGACTCCATTTGCTGATGTCTTTCCAGCTTCTGGTGCTCAATGTGGAGGCACTTCCTGAGCTCCAGGCTGTATCTGAATTGCAGTATGTAGTAGCTGTTAGATTCCCATGAATTTATCTAGTTTTTTGAATGCACTTATTCCTTTGGACTCTACACTAGTGAACATACACATTCAACTACCAACTGTGTAAAAAGTGTTTCCTTTTTATTGTAAGAAGAGCAATTACTCCATTTGCTTTCTCCATCCCACTCCACGCTAAATACCTCAATCACATCCAAGTTCAGCTAATGTTTGTCAAGCAAATGAGTCCTTGTGTATGACCTTTTTTCTGCTACAGAAGCCATTTGGTACCTCTGATGTTCTTGTTGCTTCTTCTCTCTCTAATGTACCTTTTTGAGATTGCACAAATGAAATTGCAGGCAGTACTCAAGACATGGGCACACCGGGGAATGATAAAATTGCAGAATAATGTTTTCCATTTTGTTGCCTCTTCCTTTCCCATTTGTCCTTAGCAGTGTGTGAGTTATCAAGTCGCTCTGTTGTTAGAAGGGCCTACAGGGAGAGCCTCGCAGACTCCTTCTGGAGGAAGGATGTGGATAACAGGACATGATTTATCTGTTTAATTTATGTTGGACTGTTTGATTTTGCAAAATTAACTTCCTCCCCGAAGAAAGATGTCAGATGAAATTTTCAGTTGAAAGGTGCAAGGGGAGAGAGAGATTAGTGTTCAGAGCAGGGCAAAGTTGTGTGCTTTGATCCTTCTGCACACTTACTACTCTTCTCCACTGTGTGCCTTGCCTGTAGGACACAGTTTGGGGGCAGGACTGGGGGACTTATCCAAAAACTGCCAACCAGATTGTTTCCCTTGGATCAGACCCTATCGAAGCAATTGTGTCCTCGGCTTTTCACATGCAAAAGAAGCACTTTATTAAAAGAAACAAGATACTTCCCAGAGTCTGACAGCTTGCATTTTAACTATCACCCCTAACAAGGGACCTTAAAACTGACCCCAAGACTTAATTTAACCATTACAATTCCATTAGTCTAATTTGTCATGAAACGTCTTTAACTAATTACCTGCATTTGTAAGTTAGTCCACATGTCATGAGATAAGAAGTCAAGCATAGTCATAGGTCACTGCTCTGGGCTGCCATCACATAACACAGACCCCAGATGAAAGGGAATTCAGAGTTGATAGGAGGAATCCAAATGACAGCTACTCAGCCAGTACAAGGCAGACGTGCCTGTAATGTAAAAATTGGACCATTGTCTCAGAAGTGGTGTTTTGGAAAAGATGGGGCATGCCCTCATTAGCAGAATAAGGTCTAGGAAGACTGAGCATTCCTCGTAAGCATTTGTCTTGAAGGTGGTAATTTGATAAATACAGGTCCCCACTAAAATCATTTGCTAAATTTGGCAGACAACAGTATTAAATATTTATGACTAAATTTAGAGCTGTCCCTTTTCAAAGAGACCTGATTATATCCTGAATGGCACTTTAAAAAGCTCATTTGGGAACTTTTGTTGGTTTCCTCAAAAAACAAATGTTGAAACAGAGGAAAAGACCAATTAGGAATCTGATTAAAGGTTGCTCAAGCCTTTCACTGAATAGTTTGGATTTGGCTCCCTATTACTTGTTGGAAATCTGCCCATGAATTTATAGTGGGAGCTACAACATGCTGTGTGCCACAAACACCTCTCTCTCTTAGATTCAGACAACTGTAAACTTCCCCTCATTTCTCTTGTTCCAGTGCCTGTGACATTCCCCCTGAGACTAGATGAGGAGAAGGATATGGTACGTGATTAATGCAGGATGAAGCATTCAAAAAATTTTCTCATTCTTGTTCCTGCTTCCTTCCTCGCTGAGCGGAGGTGCAGAGGGAGGTCGCCAAGAGTGATTCCCCCCATCAATACAGAGTGTCACCATCACACTTTTGGCTGCTGGTGCTGGGTGTGAGGGGTAATTAAATCCCTGCCTCCACCCCAGCTCCTGTCCCTCGGCTGTTCCTTACAGACAGCAAACCCTGCTGAATTCTTCACTTCCATCACTCACTGGATCAATACAGAGGGCCGGCAATGACACAGTTATACTGGTCAGGCCAGCCCTACCTTTGTACTCCCTAAGTACAGGCTCTGTCCAAGCCATAAATCACAGCTACTCTAAATTATAGAGCCTGCCAACACATCAGAGGCCTGGAGTGGGAGCTCCCTGTGATCACAGCAGGGAGGGGAGGATAAGGAAGGCCCTGACCAAGCTGTCTATTCTGTACTCAGGAGCTTTATTCAAACAGCAAGGAAGAGGGCCTGGGAGCCTCTGCGCTCCTCTTGCCTGCCGCAGTGGCTCAGCAGTGGCTCTGGGGTTACCTGCTCTCCTCACGAAAAATTGAAATCTTCCTTCTAAAGGCCATAAGGCAGTCACTAGGGTCAGGAAGAAACTTCCTTTACTGGCATATTGCTGCAGACTTTATACCTGCACATCCCCTTTTTTGCATCCCTGTGGGGAGAGAGGACTGACTCATTGATTTGCATCTTCCTCTTACCAGCACTGGGAGTGCTCAGTCCTCTGCGAGGGGGAGGAAGGGCAGCACCCCGCTGTCCCCAGCTCCTGCACACAGCCACACCATGGTACTTCTTTCTTTCCTGTGTGGAAATTCACCTGTTGTTTTTTACCAATACTTTTCCAAATCTTTTAAGAGAAATGAATCTTCAGATCTCCAAATCTTTAGCCTGTCTGAAACCAGCATAAAATATCTTCTAGTCTGCAATGAAAAATCACAGACGATCCATCCTTTCGATCGCTTGCTTTTATCCTAAGCTGATAAGGGAGGCCCTCCTGTGCTTGTCAGCTTTGCATTCTTGGTGTGTGCAGCATAGCTGAGGATTGAAGATTAAAGGTGAAGAGTTGAGCAGGGAAAAAATGCAGGAATGAAGCGGCTGTTTAATGGGATAGAGGGGCTTTCCTCTTGAAAACTGCTTATCCATATCCTGTCTCTTGGTAATTACAGAGTATTTTCTTTATGGGGAATGCTAGCACTGTTTTCCTGGTTTAATATATTTTACCCACTTGCATGATCATCTTTTCACTTTGGTAGGTGAAACCATTCTTTGTTAAATGGTGAATGTCAACAGTATTGTTCTAAGCTGCTTAGTTCCGTCTTGTGCATCTTTTGTCTTATAGTTAGAACAAAGTTCAAGTGTGCTCAGGAGTTAAAGCTCAATCTGTAACTAAGTTTGAGTCCTTGCAGTTCCAGGCTTGCAAACTCCTTTCCACCCAAGTCTCTCTCAATCTGTAACAGAACATCTACAGTTACTAATCCAGATATTGTTGAATTGACTTTCAGTGACTGGATGTGCTGTCCTGATAGTTAGAACCAAACATTTGAAAGACAAGCTCTGGCAGCTGTTTTAGACTGCTCATGTCACCATCTGTTTTTCTGCTAGAAATATTTTAATTTTCAAAAACTCGTCCCTGTGCCTTGCTCTGTTTTTCAGGTAGACCCTTCACCTCCTGGTGTCCCTAAGGATCTCAGGTGGGACAGCTTCATCATTGGTCCTGGTGCCTTCATCAGTGCTGTATTTTGCTGGGATTCACCTCCAGAAAGAGATCTAAGAATCCATCATTACAAAATCTGCATAAGCTTACAGAGGCCAGAGCAGCTAATAAAGATCAGTGGGAAATGACTAATGCAGATGTGCTGCCACGTACCTACCACTGTCTTTTCTGGTATCTGGAGAGGTACTGGGAGAGCACAACAGCCACTGGTGGAGAAAAACAAGAGAAGAGAAAGGATTCATCTGCCAGGAAGAGATGCAGTCATGACTCTGGCTTGGTGTAATAAACAGCATGTGCTGTTCAGAGATCTGGCTGTGCACAGGCCATATTCCCCTGATCTCTCTCCAGCTTGGAGATCCTTCTGCTGTGGTTGATGTGAACAAGTCTCGTTCTTTGTATCACCTCCATTGCAAATGAGGTTAAGAAATGGGAACATTTCAGAGTTGGAAGGAGTGATCTGGGATTCTTCAGATACCAGAAGTTCCTGATTTTTTTTTTTGTATAGATAATGTCAATGTTTATACATGTAAAAGTGATAACAGGGAGGTTGGAGAAATGGTGGGATTTTGAGTTGGGATTGGGGGGGTTTGCTGTGAGGTGAAGGCTTCTGAAATGGCAGAGACTTGGAAAAGATGGATGCCTTGGCTTGGAATGTATTGCCACAGTCTGGAGCAGGAAATCATATGGGGTTTGAGATGTGGAACAGAAGAGAGAGAAAATCTGCCTCACAAGGGATTGAAGGAATTTATTTTAGGGACTTGAAGGATTGAAGTAACTCATTTCACATGACTTTTCCTCCTCTATCCCATGCTCATGACTGCATGCAACAGTCATTTTTGCTGATGGAAATGTGGTCACTGTATTTTCTGTCCCACTGTCATCTCCTTGTCTCTTTACTTGTCCATAGAGTATCATATACCCTATGGCATCATATAATTAAAATAGATGATTATGCAGATGTAAGTGGATCCCTAAGGAAACTTAGCACATGGACATAACACCACAGGCAACTTTTAACTGATTATGCAGCTATAAAGAAGTTTCTTATTTTCAAAACTAAAAACACCTTAACTTTTTTCCCTTCTTTTTATGCTAACAAACCTAACATTTTCCTCTCCAGATAAGCTCTGAAATGGAAGAGAGAGTGCAGAATACCTTATGGACGTGAGGGCTGTAGGTTTATGGGTTTAGACATCTCTGAAAAGCACAAAAATATTTCCTCCCGTTTGCAACACCCATCCCCCTGCAGACAGAGTGCAGCCCCTGTATGCATTTGGTTTCCAGATCTGTGATTCCTACCCTCCTTTTTATAAGCTGTGAATTTTTTTCCCTTTCAAAGCACAGATTTTAAGCCCCCTCCCATGCCCCCAGGGAAGCTTTTGTCCTGTGAGTGCCCTAGGGTTTTAAAGAATGTGGAAAGTCCTTGGTTTATTCTGTTTCTGTACTGCTACCTCCAGTTCCTGATTCCTGTTCCTCTGTGGCCTCTGCTAATGCAGAGTCTGTCCCGAATGGGGGTTTCCTCTGCAGTTCCACTGAAATGTGGCTGTGTGCACAGGGACTACAGCCTTCTAGGCAGCATTCTTTTCTTGTTATTTAGTAGAGAAGAGGTATCACTTTTTCCCCCTCTCCATCATCAGCCTGATTTTATTACAATCCCATAATGCCAACACTGTTCATGTTTCCTCATCCCAAGACTTGGTGGATCCATTCAAACACCGTGTTAATCCCCCTCTATTCTCAGTAGCACCTTTATTATGGTATTGCCTTTCCAAGCTACAGTTGATTTTGCAAGCCTTCACACCAGCTAATCCAACCTCTTTTGGCTTCTTTCCCAAAGGTGTAGAGTTCTAAGGGGAACATTCAGCAAGGATATTTTTACTCAGTATCAGTGGATCCAGAATTTCTTATTTTCTTACCTACAGGGCTGCTCACTGCTCTCCATCACTAGCAGCAATGAGGGATAGATACTGCTTACAGAATATAATCATTATAAAAGAAAATAAGACAAAAACAAGGAATCTAAAAGCTGTCTTCATTTTCTATCTGTAGGTACAAGTCAGGTGGAGCTGCCCTAACATTTGTGCTGCTAATTAAGGAATAGCCTGTTACATAATAAACAGTACACACTCTTCTCTAGGAGCAATCTTGCAGTGAAGCAGGAGAAATCACCTGGGTGGAGGGACCAAGGATTAGCTGGTGCCTGAAGCAGAGACTGTATAGAGAGCACATCCAACAGTATTCCTCAGAGCAGCTCTAACAACTCTGGCAGATCATAGCAGAACTCTTCTACTTTATTATGTGCTGAAAAGTAACTGGTTTTTACACATTAGACACTAATCAAGGTCACCCTTTCATTGCTGAATGCTCTGCATTCACTGCACTGTTGGCAGGAGGGCTTGCTCTGCTCCCGTGTGTTCAGAAAAAAAACCCAAAATATAAAAAAGGAGAAGAAATCCTTTGGCCAACCATCTGTTGGAACAGAGGCCATGGACACAATGCAGATATGAATGCCTGGATGCATTTTGCAGGTGTGCCCTGTGACCCATTTTTCCATGGAGAAATTCACTGGGAAAATAGATTGCACTAGACTGTTCCTGCAACTGCAGTTAATCGTGCCTTTTCTATATTACTGCTACAGGATTAACACAAACATTGCTTCTATTTTCAGGCTTATCAAAGGCAGCAGCACATCTCTCTAATCTCCTATTTCCCTGCTCTCTTTAAAGTGTTTAAATGAATGGAGCACTGATGAGCAGGGATGCGGTGCCAGCAGGGATGGTGTCATTTAATGCCTCGCTATTTATGCTATTTAATGCCTGTGTGGCTTTATGTGCCCTGGGTGACCTGCAAACCATCTGGCAGCCTCCACCCTTTCACAGGACAGACGGAGGTGGAAACAGCACCTTCACTTGTCTCTGGTTCAGAGAGTGACCAGCAGCAGTAAAGCAGTACAGTTCTGATGAGCCTGCTCCTACACAGCCTGCACCTGCTGTCACTGAAGGATGAAGCTCAGAGGCCATGGACTGGTGACCCTTGAGACCAGGCAGGCTGGATCTCAGGGATCTGTGGGCACTTACCTACATTCCTGTTGGACTGGTTGGCACACACAACCTGGATTTTTCTTACAGCTGTAAAAAGCATAATGATACCTGATCTGCCCCAGCACCTGTTTGTGCACTGTTAACTTGTCAAAAGGTTTCAGACAAGCTGGAATTGGCAGAATTGTGTGTGTCATATCAGCTCCTTGTCCTAAGAGTCCTACAGCTGGATTTGCAGTATCATTGAATCACAGCCTGAATTTGTAGCCGTATTACTTACACAAATCACAAATACTTGGGTTGTGTCCTCCAATCTGCTAGGAAGTGGGCTGAGATCCACCCTGCAGCTTTCACACCACTGTCAGCTGGCATTAACTTCCAGTCATTTTTTCCTTTGAGGCCAGATTGAAATTAGTGACCTAGAAGTAAAATACTCTGTATTTTGTTAGCAAGTAGTCCCTGGAGTTGTGCAGTCTAAATTAGGATGTTTTCTCAGTGAGCTCTTTTGTATATCTTCTATGGCAATTGTGCTGTAATTACCACAATCCTTTTTCTGGTAGCAGAATTTATTAATTGCTTTTCACTTTCTCCAATACACTTTCTGCTCAGATCACAGTGAAATAAAGATTTTCTTTAGTGTGTGGAACAGTTATGATAGCCTAGTGTAATGCATTAGTTTTCTATGGTGACATAATCAGAGATTATATTATGGATTCACTGATATTCCTGCAAGGAGAGCAAACTGGAAATGGTGTTGGACACTTACTTCACTGCCTGTTAGCAGTACAGGTGTGGGATCTGCCCCTGAAAATGCTCCTGTCTGGGAGAATATTTGCAGAAGTAAGAACTAGTCATGTGTAGAAAAATTTTCACAATCAGCCTTCATATTTATGGGATGGATCACTTGTGGACAGTGCTGAGAGTCTGCTGGGAAGTGCTGGCTGCCCTTGGCAGTGCCACTGCTGGAGGTTCATTCTATTCAGCATTTTAAGGAAGTGCCCAGCTCTTGTAACTTTACTGCAGCCTGTTCATAAGAATAAGTTATGTCTCCACTTTTTCTGGAGTTCAGATTCTCTGTTCAGATTTAAGGTCAGATCCAGTTGGTCACTCTGTGGCAGTATATAATGAATTGCCAGCATCCCAGAACATACAAAATTGGAGATTAGAAGCAGCTCCACCTTATTATCATGATAGTCAATTGCAAGTGGTAGTGCAGTGGATAAGGGCAAGGTAATGTGACATATGAGTGGAATAGCTCTCAATCTGTGTATTATGAAATTGTCATTCTGTGCCACTGTTCAGCATAAATGGACTAATCTTCAGTTTGAAAATGAGGAGAGCTTGACTGTTAAAGAATAGGTCATTTGGCTTCTGGCAGCAGCAGAAGATGCTGTAATATAAGCTGTAAGAACTTGTGCATTCTTGGTAAGGAGATAAAAATGATTAAATTGCACTGCTTGCTTCTCTATCTTTCAAAGTAATTCATATTTGGACCTGGATTCAGCTAAGCATTTGCATAATTCCTCAGGCCATTCCTATTCAGCCATGCATTTCAGTTTGTGCTTAAGCTCAAGCAAGTGCTGAAGTTCTTTTCAGTTCCTGGGGCTTCAGCCTTGCAGAACAAAGTCTGGGTCGTTACTTTATGTTTTAGCAGCTTCTGAGGTTGCTGTGCTGTAGCAAATGTAAGTTTGCTTTGTAAGTAGCAAATTGAAGTTTGTATTTGTTGTATTATGGGCTGAATACTCTTTAATGACTCAGAAAGGTTAAGGGTGAAGATGTGGGGGCCCTGCAGACGATAATTTTTAATAGAGTCCTCTGTTGGAAATCCAAGAGCCAGAACAGGGGTCATGTCTCTGAAGAGTTTCACGGACTCTGCAAAGCTGGCAGTCACACTGACTGCCTCCCTTCCGCTGGGCTCTTCCTGAAAAGGAATGAGCAGAGCCAAGGGAAAGGTTTTGTTGGGCTCTTTGGGAAATATAGCTCTTCAGGCTGAATTCTGTTCCATATTATGCTCTGTTTTCCAGAGAAACTTTGGTAGGGTTGTGCCAGGTGGTAGCCATTTGTGATGTGAATTGTAGTTTCAACAAATCTTTCAAAAATTGCAGTACTACCACATATATTTGTACTGTGAAAATTTGGGAGTGAGAGTTGGAGAAGAACCTTGATGTGCTGATTTTTTTTTTTTTTCTTTTGTGGGGCTGAAAATTCAAAATGTTTTGCCTGGCATTATCAAATTCTTGTGTGTCAGTTCAGTTTAGCAACAGAACATGTCAGCCAACAGAGTTCCACTCCTTTGTGAAAATGTGTGTGTGAACTGAAAATTTTTTAACTGAGATTGACCCCAATCTAAAATTAAATGTTTGGTTACAGCTTTTTATAGAAAATACAATGAAACAATTAACTTTTTTTTTTTTTCCTTTGGAAAAAATAATTTTCAAACATTTGGTAGGAAACCCCTTACAGAACAGATTTATGGCCTGAAGTCTTGTTCACAGTGAAACTGGTGGGAATTTTGCTGTTGACTTTCATGTAGCCATTTTACTGAGGTTTTCTTTGCAGCAGGAGGGATTGTGTGACTCTCTATCTGGAGGTATTAATGTAACTTCAAAGTTTCTTGGCCCACTTCAGAAATAAAAAATATTCTTATATATCCCATCAACTTGGTGGTCTTGCTTCATTGAAGGCAACACAATTTTTTGTCTCTGTCCCAGCGAATCACAAGGAACTCAATCTATATTTGTTAAAATGGAGACCAGCAACATGTTCTTCTAATACAACAGTCGTAGAGGAAAGGGCAAATGTCCAGGTTAGTGCTCTGCTTTGCTGGGCTGTTTTCACATCATTGCTTTAAAATATTTGTTCTGTGGAGGAGAATCACTGCAGGTCCCAGATGAAGGTGTTTATAGGGTGATTCTGTTTCAGTGCAGTGCTGTGCATGATTCTGTCTCAGTTTGCCTGCTCCCAGTGCATGAGATGATTCACCTGCTCCTGGATTTTCCTTTCTGTATAGAAGATTTTATTAACCCCCAGAAAGCTTTGTCTGGAAGCTGGTTTTCCACCCCAAACTGAGGTCTTACTATTAACAATATTTTACGAGCATGGAGCACTTCATTCCATGGCTGAGTCCTTTGTTACCTCTTCTTCATGTGTGTCAAAGTGTCAACAATAGTGAGAGAAGGAAGATAAAGGACTGGAAGAATCAGAGGAGGGGGAAAGCAGAACTCTGTGGTCACTTTTCATGAGATACATGCATTTGGAAATTTGCTAAAGTATGTTTGTAATGTTTTTCATAAGAAACATTAAATGAAAGTAGACTTAGTCCTGGACTTAACCTACCCATTTTTCCTTGGATTTAGGGCTACCTCAGGGCAATCTTCCTGTTTTGCACTTCAAGCTCATCTCTACCTGCTTTACTGGTGCATTGCACTGCACTGAGGACAGCTCTGTCCAGCTCTGTGTGGTAGATACAAAAAGAGCAGGACCTTCCATGGAAGAAGTGATTCCTAGGAGGTGCCTGAGAGCTGAGTTTCAAAAGCATCATGTTCCCAAAGAAAGGCCAAATTTTTCAGAAGGACTGAACAACAAGCACTCCTGCTGTGACAGATGGCTGAGTGTTTCAAAAGATCTTGCTATTAAAGCTAGCTGGAGATTCTCTATTCTCTTGTTTTTGACAGGAACTTGGGTTTTCTGTTAAACAAAATAATAGTGCAGAATGGACAGATTTTCCTTCCAGCGTTCTATTTTTAAGTGAGAGTTTTAATTGTTTTGGTCAGGGAAACTCTCACTCCTGTAGTACATTGATTTACACTCACTGTGCTGGAGAGCCATGTGACAGACACTTCCCAAAGTCTGATCCCAGGTTCTGACTCCCCAGAAGCAACAAAGCTGTTCCAGAGCTCTGGCCAAACACAAAGCTGCTGTGTGATGTGGTGGGCAGAGCACTGGAGTTTGCTGCTCCCAGACAGGTTTTCTTGGGTTTTCTTTTAGGTCTCCTAGAGAGGGTTGAGTTTTGAGATACTTGATTTGGGATCCTGAACACAAGATCTCCAGTGAGTGAATGTCTTCACGTGTGGCTGCTCACAGGTAGGATTGGGAGTGAAAGGCAAGCTGTGTTTGAATGTAGCTGAACATGCAGAAAGTAGGATCTTGGAGCTTGAGGCTGTTTCTCAAAATGAGTGCTTTAACATTTCCATGATTTAACTTTCCCATCCATAAACAGGAAGTAAATCATCATCAGTGAAGGGCTTTAAAAGTTCAGTGTCTGAGACGCAGAAATACAAAAAAAATCCATTTTATTTCATCTGAATGTCTCAAAGCTCTTTTAAACTGTTAATTAATTGAGCAGTCATAATGATGTGCCAATGGGGATGAAGGGGGAGGAATAATTTACAGGTGGGAGAAATGAGGCATGAATGACTTCCTAGCCTTTCCTGTGCCGTGCTGTTAGTCTGTGTCGGATCCAGACAGATACCTTCTGTCCTGTCTCCTTTTGCATCTGTGATGGGTGGCTGGGAACATCAGTTTTTCCCCCTCTCTGCTTCTGCCTCTTCTTCTGTAGGGAGCCCAACTCCTTTTCTCCAGCCTGCTGTTTCATGGAAGTGCAAGGAGTCCACGTGGCGTGGCTCACCTCTCTGAAGGAGCAGCCCTGGAAGCTGGGACCTCTGCTTCAAATCCCAAGTTCCACCTACTGAACAGGTCACAGCCAGAGAGCCAACTCCACTGTCTGGGAGAAAGGAGTAAGGAAATGAAACTTCTGGGTGCTCTTGGAGCAATGGCACATTCTGCCCTGCCTTCCTCCTCCTGACCTTATGCACAGCTGGGTTATGGTGTGCTGTCCTCTGCACACCTTTCACAACAATTCAGTTTATACCTTTGCTGCACTGGGCAGAGTAGCTCAGGAATATCTGACTTGGCTCTGAAATACCAGCTCACCTCTGAGAAACAACAGAGTCCCCTTTGTCACTGTCTCTTTCTTGTCTGAACTCCTGTATCTGGGGTCAGTACACTTTTGTACAGAAAACATTGAATCTTCTTTCATATATCGAATAAATGAGCACACAGTAAATTCAAATTGTTTAAAACTTACAGAATGGGCAGGATAAAACTATTGCTTAGTAAAATACCCAGTGCATGATTTCATTTAGAGTTTGGCTGAGAAACCTGTTTAAACTTAGTTCTTAAACACAGCTGTGAAACTTGTGAAGATGTCACATCAGATGTCACACCCAACAACCTTGAAAGCCTCCTGGGAAGGTCATCACAGCACCAATAGTGAGCAGTAATTCTAACAGGATGCTTTGCTTCATTCCTCTGGCCACTCCTTGTTGAGCTCCTGCAACCCCAGACATGAAGTTTTTCTTCTACCCAATGTGGTTTCAACTGCTTCTCCATATCAGTTATTCATATCTGAAAGGGAAAAGAAAAATACTAACATAAATTGCTGGACCCTGGAATAAAATGGTTTTTTTATTTAACTGACAGGGCTTATGGTTACCTTCAGACATAGCTTTTAAAGTAGTTTTTAGCTGGATGACAGAGATAAGCCCTCCAGGAAAAAACAGTGGTAAAGTGGTAGGTCATTATAAATATTTTGTTCTCTCTGTAGTCGTGTTTTCCATTCTTTTTCAGTTTATGTATCTTGTAAAAATTTTCCAGTAAATCTGCTACCTTCTATGTGGTGAATTTAAGCCTATTGATTTGTAGCTGTCCTAATTGCATTTTACAGAACCCCTGCTGCCTCTGGGACCAGAGCTTGAAAAGTCCTGTTTAGTGAAATGGATTGTCTTCCACAGGTCATTGACACCCTATATTCTGCCTTATCTAAATCAGGCAGTCTCCAGTATTCTCTGATCTAATCCCAAAAGTGGCGGGTGTGTGTTATGTGCAGATATAATGCTTACACATAAATTTCTATTGAGCAGTTGTTGGAAAAGGAGCTGAAAGCAGGTAGAGCTTGCCCTCCCAGCTCGGTGCTAAGTGGGGATGCAGTGCCTGCTAACAGCTGGCTTTCCTGCAGCTCGGCAGGTGATGAGTTCCCACCACTTCAGGAGCCCACTGCCAATGGTTAGCACATGCTGTTGTGAGAAATCTCATCAGTCAAAAACGTCTCATAAATAATTTAGAGGAAAGCAATTAGCACACACAGCTGTAGCTGTTTGCAAAGTCACAGTTATACCTGCCAGGGCAATCTGGAAATGGAAATTTCAAAACCATTTCTTGAAGTGGCCAGAACGGTCTAGCTTGGAGCTAAGGCTGATGGGTAGTTGTTGTTGAGTAAGGAGCAAATTGCACTTTCATGTCTTTTTATGTATAATGAAATCCAGGAGAGAATTTTAGTATTTTGTGCATATTGGGAAAGGGATCAAAGGGATGCAGTTTTTAAAACTCCAGGAGTCAACTCCTTATCCTTTCAGAAGTTCTGCAACTCATTCAGCTTCAGAGCAGGGGGGACAGATTTTAACAGAGACA